GAAGGTCTAACTTATCTATTCTTTGCATCTTGGTCCCAGCATCCATTCGGCACAGAAACCCATGCATCTAATCTTTCTTCCCCCTTCTCAGGTTCTTGCTAAAGGATCACACTGTGGAATCTACAACCATGACAACTTTCCACTTATTGCTCCCTTGAAAAATAAAATATTAGCACAAGAAGATAAGTGGGCATGTTGTCTTTTGAGAAGCCCTGGTTGAATTTAATTAGCTTTTAGATTTCATCCCATCTTACATCTCAGTTTTTACCTATGTGATTTATGCCTCAGTAATCTTCATTCTGTAAAACTTTTTCAACTTACAAACCATGGGCATTCTCTCGAATATTAAAGAGGCAAAAATATGTGAATTTCTTTTACGTTAAATTAATTTTGCTTTTTCTTCTGTGAGTCCAAATGCAGTAGACATACTCCCCTAGAAAGGAAGGGAGTCAGCCAAGTGTGACATGCTAAAAGGCAGCTGGGCAGCCTCTTCACCGTGTTCCCTGAAGGAGAACAGAAAACAGAAGCTGGGGACACATTTCTTGACCTCATGAAAGTATTGGATGTCAGGAAGCCTTGACAAGAAATTAAAAAGCTTGTCTTACTTTTTATATTTAGAGCGTCTCCATGTTGACTGTGATTCTGGGGAGATATCAGTGTTTCCTCATTTGTAGGACATACCAAATTCAACAGCATTCTCTGCTGTGTTGTTCCCATCCATTGCCTCTGTACTGCCTTCTGCAGAGGAGATTAGAATCTTGGCTGGAATTTCCTGTGGTCAGTGGAGCTTGGAGCCTTTTTCTGGCTTGGAAGGCATGTTCATGGGCAAACAGCCACCAGGCTGAAAAAATCTTTTTGAAGTTACCCTTTTAAGATTTCGCATTTTCTTGTACACTAATTATCAAGTTTGATCATCATAAGATACTTGACTTTATAAAAATGAGATTATTTCAGACAACCCTATTTAGAAAATAGACTTGGAAAAAGGAGGTGAAGAGCAGATAATTTTAATATTTTGAACACTGTATATTTTTTCCTGAAGAAACTGTATATTCATGCCAAAGTTCATCTTCATAATATGGCTTGTCTTTTTCACTTAAAACAAGGTGCTTAAAGTTTTTGGTCAAAGTTAAAATGGAATATAACAAGTTATGTTTAAGAATAAGCTGCTATTTCATCATTTGAAATTTTACCTGTCTTAATAATAGAGGCACAGTCCTGATGTTCTTTTATGACTTGGGTGTCATTAGATGGCATTTTGTTTAGGGAAGATGGAGTATTTTGGCAGTTTTACAAATAGATTTACTTGATATTTGCAATGCAACTTAATGTTTTTATCACTAGCAACTTAATGTTTTTATCACTAGTCAAGGAAAAGTGAAGACTTTCAGGTGCAGTAATTAAAGCTGTCTGTTTCTTGAGTGGAGCTGCAGTATACCTGAGAGGTTGTTAATTCAGCTGTGTGTATGTCTGCACGTATGTGTGCAGCCATGTGTGTGGTGTGCATACTAACTTAAATTCAGGATTGGAAGGCAACAACTCTGAAAACAAATGGACTCTATTTTCTCCCTGTGGATGCCACCTCTTAATAAATTGAAAACTTAGCTATACCTATGAAACCCTTTCAGAACACAGAATGGCTTAGCTGATTGCTCTAATTATTACACATTTAGTGCCTCCTCTTTCTCATTTCTGAGATATACTGTCTTTGCTTCAGAACCTGGAGGTAAAACAAAGTCCATGTTTAGACTTCCCATTGTAAGCAAAAGTGATTTGAATCTGGTAGAAGAACGAAGTGAAGTGATGCTGGGGGTCACTTTGTACTGGGGTTGTTTTGCTTTGCTGGGTGTGCTTAGAGTTTGGAAGATGGCTGTGGAATGAATCAGGTAGAGGGGCACAAAGGGAATAGGTCACCTAATTAACAGTGCCAATAATAATAATGGCTGATTCTTACTGGATAACTACTACTTACCGGGTGTATCACAGGTAACTCATACAACTTCACTTAATCTTTACAGGAGCCCAATAAGACAGGCACAACTATCTTCGACTTACAAGGAGAAAAAGTGAGGCTTAGAGAGAAAGATTGTATGAAGAAAATAATTTTTACATGGAAAGGAATGAAACAGTCTCTTCGTTGCAATCATTGGTGTTTTTATTTTTCTTCCTCTGCCTTTTCCTTCTCCTTTCTATCCTCTTCCTTCATCACCTCCTCATCTTTCTTCTTACTTAGATTCTCCTTCTCTTTATTTTTCTTTTTTTCTTTTTTCCTTTTCTTTTCTTTTTTTTTTTTTTTTTTTTTTTTTTTTTTTTTTTTTGAGATGGAGTTTCGCTCTTGTTGCCCAGGGTGGAGTGCAATGGCACGATCTCAGCTCTCCACAACCTCCACCTCCCAGGTTCAAGCGATTCTCCTGCTTCAGCCTCCCTAGTAGCTGGGATTACAGGCATGTACCACCACACACAGCTAATTTTGTATTTTTAGTAGAGACAGTTTCTCCATGTTGGTCAGGCTGGTCTCAAACTCCCAACCTCAGGTGATCCGCCCTCCTCGGCCTCCCAAAGTGCTGGGATTACAGGCATGAGCCACTGGGCCTGGCCTTTATTTTTCTTTTCTCAAACACAGAATGAAATGTGGCCAGGTTGTTAAAGCACTATTCCATTGGGTTTTGGTCAACAAGGACAGGTCTTTTTCTCTCCTTCATCATGGAGTTGCTCTTAGTAGAGCTACTTACTTAATTATTTTGGAAGTTTGATAAGGGCTAAGAGTTCTGGCCGATGGCTTACTTTATCATCACATACTTTTTCATTAACTTAAAAGATGAACACAGGTAGCAGAGTATGGTGATTATATGCTGTTCCTTATAAGCTCACATTCAAATCTGCCTTCTATCTTTTGTCTGTGTTAATGATTGTTCAGGGTTAAAAGGGAGAAAGAATGAATTGAGGATAGCAGATGTCCAAAGATATTTTTGTGAGTAACTCAGTAAAACCTGTTTCTATAAAGAGAATGTTTTACTGTATCAGGATATCTAGGAAATTAAATTTTTTTCAGATATACAGCTGAGATTTTTTTTTCTATTTCCCTCACACATCAATATTGCAAACATAAATTCCTGATTGCTAGAGCAGGCTTATTTTTGTGACATTAGCTCAATGGAGATATCGATGCCCTGGGATTCAATTTCACTCTTATATGATGCCTAATATACTTCAATTTGTGTCTCAGGGAAGGGGCTTGGTTATTTTTTCTGGGTAAACTGGGCTTTTTGTGTTGCCACAGCATCACTTAGACTCATGATACTGAGGCCAGCAACCTGACTGGGCCTCATTTGTTCCCAGGCGTAACAGGAGGATAGAAAATGGATTCAAATCTAAGCAGAGTGGTAGAATCTCAAAAGCTCTGTCACCAACACTTACTGCAAATATACTCTTCCTAGAGGGAGTGTTCTGAAAATTTGGTCTGCATCTCACCTGTGATAAATATCCCCTTTAAAAACATTCACACAGAACGACACAATAAAGGCAGCATGGTTTTAGATGCCAATATGATTTTGAGGTCTCTCTCTCTCTTTCTCGTATACATTGGGTCTGGGGTCTTTCGAATATGCATGTGATCTCAGTTTAGGGTTCATGAATGACTTCGTGTTTTGTGTAAGGTCCCTTTGATTTCCACTCTCAGCATTATTGGAAATAAACTCAAAATTGTATAAACAAACAGAGTAAATTGTTCTGAAACTCTGCCATGCAGAGTTCATCTTCAACACTTTGCTTTCTATTATTGCCGAAGGAAGGGAAATGACAGCATTGGCTTTAAATCTGTAAATTTAGTAGTGGGGCACCTGCCTGTGCTTCTGTGATATACTGGTAATCTCCACTTACTGTCAGGGCTGCGGCAGTATTTATTTTTCCTTAATTGGAACCCCACTGATATCCTGTGGGATTCCCTCCCCTCCGCCCCCCACCTTGGCAAGGCAATATATCCTTATAGACCTAGATCATAACCACCATGGTCTATTGTAATATAGTCAGGAATATCAACACTGGGATCAAAATTAAACCAACCTCCAGTTTCTAGACTGCCTTTTGATATTATTAGGAACTCACCATTTTTCTCAGTGTTTATCTTTGAAGTTAAAGAAATGTCTGCAGGAGTTCAAATTGAATATGCTTTATCACAGTGTTTCCTCTTCTGTTTTAATTCTTCATTTAGTTGCTTCTAGAAGTGTGGGGATGACTGATTACATTGCAAACTGTTACCCATAATGAACAAGTAAACAACAAACATGAGTGATTTGGGTGCTCTATATAGAAATGTTATTTTAAAAATACCTTCATCCTTTCTAGGTGAACAAATATAATGAGATGCCTGGAAAACCTTAATTTTATTAAAATTAAATTCATTAAAATTAAGTAAATCCTTTTAATCTTAACTTTTGGTGTCAAAACAGGATTTGTTACCTTGGACATCAGAGGGCCACTTCATTGTCTTTATTTATGGTTTCAGCATTTGCTTTTCCCATGTGCTATTTTTATTTTTGTCATTGAAGTTCATGAAGACTTAATCATTACCCCTCTAATTTTCCAGAAAAAAAAAAAAAAGTTGATTTATTGAACTGACTGCAGAAAAAGAAGAAGAAGAAGAAGAAGATCAATCTGACATTGTAGGTTAATAGTAGGAAACAAAGCACATTCATAATTAGAAGAGAAAAGGACTTTCCTTGTTCATTCCAGTTTATAATAAAAAGCCCCTCGCTAAAGTGTCTTAGAAAATAATGCATTCAGACTGAGTCGAATTACCGCCTAGCAGATTCTATTTATCTGTAGCTTAAAAAGCAGCTGCGTTTTTGTAAAAAGCAATGAATGTGGCAGTCCTACTTAAAGGTAGAAGAAAAAGAACACCCCTTGTTTTGTAATAAGGGGATTTTCCATTTAAAAGAGAGAGCAAGCCTGTTGTGTGAAGTAGGGTTATTACATTCACTGTATTCTATCTCACCCACCAGGAGGCTAATAATGAAGGGGCCGGGAAGGAGGCCAGTGCTACCAGGGTTATCTCACAACCTCAGATGCTGGATAAGTCGAAGGAGGCAGAATCGCTTTGGGATGACATTCAGAAAGGCTGGAGTGATTACTTGGAAGAGAAAAGCCTACCTATTCTTTCCAAGGTAAACAGTTCATTTCATCTGGTCAGTGGCATGTTGCAGTATACAAATATGTTTATATAAAGATATCTATAAAATTTTCCTTTTAAAAAATCATTTTAGGTTCAGGAATATTCCCCTGACCTGCTCATCCAATGGTCCAGTAATGAATTACTGGAGACCTGCCTTAGACAAAGAATGCACTCGGAGCCCCAACACACCTAAAGCCACGCTTTGAAGGATCTGCCAAGCTCACTTTTAATCATGAGAAAGAAATTACCCACACGGAGTCAGCAGAAAATGAGAAAGTAGAGCTCGTGCTGTGAATAATTCTAGCAAGTGCCAAGGGGCTAGTTGAGGAATGGCTACATGAGGTGAATATCTTTAGCTTGTACTTAGGGTTTGGTTAGCATATAATCATTTTCTCTTCTAGGAGCAATGACTATCATACGTGTATTTCCTAACTAAAGAGTGCTCAGAGCATTTGTCAGGATGTTGACAGATTTAATATCAATCTTGCCCATGTTGTTATTTACTATGACTAATTTTACGTTTGTAAATATGCAAAAATCAATTTAGGTGGAAAGGTTCTCATCCGAGCCAATGACTGCTACTAGCTGTGCGTATTTGTGTGTATTGCTGTGAGTGCACGTCCAGTAATTTATGTCTCTGTGTCTGTATGTGCCCTTGTTCTCGTCTTCTCTCTGTTGTGAATGCAGGTTGGGAGAATTAGCCAAACATTGGGTTCTCAGATGTGGTCCCAGGCTTTCATTTGATTTTTGGAACGGGAAAAAAGAACGTGTCACATCATGATTAATGGTGAATCTGAATTTTCAATTCACATGAAAGTAGGAAGGGGAGGGGATATGAGTCAAGTGACAAGACTAACCTTTTCCCTTTGGGACGAGCATGATTCAAATTAAACATCACTTTCAGTGTGAAATTAGTTCGAAGGCTGTGTGTGTGTGTGTGTGTGTGTGTGTGTGTGTGTGTGCCTGGTTTAACTCCTTGGTGGCTGCTCATTCAGAGAGGATTTCTTCCATCCCAGCTCCGTGCCTGGGTCTACTCCCAGTAGCCCACAGTTCCTCTTTCTTTGTTTTATTTTTCTAAAGATCAGGTCCAGGAAACGAGTATTTTACTATTTCAAAAGCTTCACTCCTCACAAGATAAGATTCTTCCTAAAATGTGCATCCCAAACTAATGTTTTAATACATTAAATCAATCAGTCAGTTAATCAATAATAACATTCTTCTTTATTTAAAGCTAATTTTGTCAGGGAGGAGGGAGAAAGGAAGCAAGGGATCCTTTTGAAAGGCATTTTGAGTGCCCTCCACTCGGTGCCAGTTTTTGCTGGCTGAGTGAGCCACAGAGGAAGAACAGCAACAAAAACCCCCAAGTTCTCTCCTGAGTCTCTAGTTTCCCACATAACAGTCACAGGATTGCCATGCCAACCTTCAGCAATGTTGGCTTTCAGCAAGCATGTGCCTTGACACTTTAAAACTGCCCTTCAATACTGATCCAAAGGATGCAGGTCCAAACTTGTAGAAAGAACCTGCTGCCTGAGCAAATGCAAGGCTGCCTTTCCATGTATCCACATTCTTGATGCCACCATTTAAGCATCAGCAGGATTTGATATGTGATTGACTCTGTTTCTGGAGTTTGGTGGCTGGTGGGGAAAGGGAAAGTGTTGAGCTGGCTAAGAAACAGTGTTATTCTTCTAGTGTATTTTCAAAAGGAAAATGGTAGGGCTTTTAAACCCCTTCCCTAATGGAAGGAGAGATGTGGTAGAGGAGCGATGGGTGTTGCGGGGGTAGCGAGTGGGGAGAGCTGAGCCAGCTGAGGGAGGAGGTAGAGGTGGAGTCTGGGAGGTAGAAAGTGGAGGCAGACAAGCAGCTGTGTTTATTTTAAAACATATCATTTAACCCTCACCTAAAAACAAATTGGAGAGGTTTGGGAGTGCATTAATCTGGACCCAATTAGCATGTCTTTCTCCTTCAAAAGTGCAACCTGAGATTAATGAATATAAACTAGAGTTTCAGATGCAGTGCTTAAATCATTTGCATGTTTTCTGCATGATAATTGAATTTATGTGTGCACTTCCTTTCATTTAACTATTTCCAGTCTCTTCCCTGTGATTCACATGAACCAAGATGTCATGGTAGTCACCTCTAGATGGAAATAGCATACCTAGCCTTTACTCCTAAGGACAAACTCAAGTTCTTGTTTCTTGTATTTGAATTTGAATAATACATTTTTAAAAAATAAAGCAGAGGGCAGAGCTTAATAGTCTGGAATGCTGTTTTGGGAGCTGGTAGATAGGCACCTCAAGTTTATTTTTGAAAGGCCAGATAAAACCATTGGGATTTATGGTATTGAGTTTTCAGTGGTACAGAGAATTGGGTTTCAACATGGCCACTTAAAAGTGTTTTAATAATACCAAAAGCAATGTCACTTTAATGCAGCATGAAGAATGTTCTTGGTCTTTGGACCTGAGTTATTTAGATCACTGAGAGATTTCAGTGCATAGTATTGTTTCTGGCATCATTCTCTCTTTTGTCGATGGGGTGGGGGTGCCTCTCTATAAAAGGCTGTAGGTGAGCAGTTAGAACTTGTGGTCCCTTAGTATGCTATGCTTTTTTGTTTTCTTTTGTTATTTAGGTGTAGAGAAAGCTTAATGCTTACAGAGTCAAACAGGTACCAAGATCCCCACTCCCCACCTGCCCCAAAATGAAAAGTCTAAAAGCCGGCATGGATATGTAAGAAAGCTTTCTGGGGAAGAAGTTGGAGCAAGAGGCTTGAAATAATTCCTCTGGTTTCAGTTTGCATCAGTGATTTGTCTGTCTTCTGTCTTTCCGTATGTGTTTCCAAGTTCAATGTCAAAGTGATGAGCTTTTCTCCAGGAATTCTCCTCAGTGTCCTTTGTTTTTGGTGAATTCAATGGCTGAATGTCTCTGAGTGTCTCTTGGTCTTGTTTCCTGGTCCTTGTAGCTAAGAATGTCGTGGAAGGATAAAATCTTGTTAATTCGTGATGTCACAATTTAAGTGTGCTTCCTGTCACTTATGTGCAGTTTAAAATGTTCTTTAATGTAGCATGAAATGATTGGTTAGCTTTGAAATTGTTGTGAAGTCATGTGAAGAAAATAAGTTTTGCATCCGACCAAGATAAATTCACTCTAGTGCTTTATGGCTTTTTATTCCTATGTGATAGTAATAAAGTCTCATGTAGGGATGGAAGCCATGAAATACATTGTGAAAAATCATCAACTAAGAAGGGACCATCAGTATAGAGAACGTTAGCCTGTGGAGCTGTGAATGTGTTGGAGACATGATTTAGTGTATAGCTCTGCTACCTGCTTGGTGTTCCTTTGAGTTTCTTTATCCTTAGATTTGACAGCTGAGGAATGTAGGTGGATTCATATTTGTAATCATTGATTAACATGCACATTTAGATTTGCACATTTTTGTTTATCATACATTTTTCTCCGTTTTCTATTAACGAATATGCTCTAGGGGAACTATTAATAGCCCGCCAGTCGGGTAGGCAGCATTCAATCCTTCTATGCCTTCTTTCACCACCTGTTGAGGTCTTTCTTCTGAAACAAAGAAGAAATAGACAAATCAGACTTGCCCTCTTGGAAATGTGGTCCAGATTTCTCTACTCCCAAGCTCCAAAAAAAGGTATACATTGGATGGGCTAGATCAGTTCCTCCTGAGAGCCATAAATCCACCAAGAGTTTTCCACGTAAGGGTGTGGTACGATGGGGAACACCTGGTGTTGGAGGAAAGTGGGAGAACTTTGGAGTGGAGTTGCATTCTAATCTCTCTGCCACATCAACCATGTGACCTGGGGCAAATGATATAAACTCTATGAGCCTCCTTCCTTATCTTTAAAATGAAGAGAAGTTATACCTTGTAGGGCTGTTGTGAGGATTAAATGAAGTAATGCATATGGTACCTAACAAAGTATTTAACATCATATTTTTTAAAAGCTCATGAAATATTAGTTTTTCTTCCTTCCCCTCTTTCTATTTTCTCCCCTGTTCCCTTTTCTCTCCCTCCTCTGCCCTCTCCTTCCTTCAGATGTTAGTCTAAAACAGCACCTTGGATCTAAGCAGCACCTTTGAGAAAGAAAAGACTGCTTCAAGAATGTCTAGCTGCACCTCCTTTCCATATGTGGCCTAAGTGCCTAGGTTGGATCAATAGTTTAATTTTTTTATTGAACTGTTTGATGTTGACTATGGACTTACGTTCACTTTTACTGTTTTCTGTATATTTATTTTTGCTTGAACTGTTTTAATATTGACTATTTACCTCTGCTCATTTTTATTGATTTTCTGTATTTTTTCAATGAAAATTATAATAAAAATTAGTTTTTGTTATCTTTTGTCTCTCTATTCCCTTGTGTCTAGACTGCCCCAGTAAGACAAATGATTCTTTTTTCTTAAGAAACACCCACTGTTAGTACCAAAAGAACTATATCCCCTCTCTACTCTCCACTTCCACATTTTGTTTGCATATCAATGTGTTTGGGGACATTTATCAATTTAGTTGTAACTGTGATGCTCATTTATGTTTTAAATATATAAAAGTTAGAATTTGACTTTATCACTAAAGCCTAGGAATAATTGCCAAGTAACAGAAACTTTTTTAAATTACAGAATAATGTAAGGGTATTGCTATAAAAATAGAATGTTGTGAAAATCAGTGACACCACATTTGTATCCAGAGTTCTTTTATCATCATCAAGTTTGTTCTTTAAAACTCACACTTACCCCTATAACCCCAGGTCCTAGAAATATCCCTGATAGTAGGGCATTAGTTATTTGTGAAAAAATGAATGGGAAAAGAGGGGAGAAAGATGATGCGGGAGGGAGAGAGGAAGGGGGAGCAAGGAGGAGAATAAAGAAGCAAAAGGCCTATAGGAAAGATATTGTATATAATATTTAGGAAAGCAGGGCAAACATGTGCATGCATGGGCACACACACACACACACACACACACATACACATACACATACACATACACATGCACGTAAAAGCCTACTGCAAGAAAGAGGAGAGTTTTAGAGTAGATATTACTATACCACTCAAGATAAAATGTAATACGAGTGGCATAGAAAAATTACTATAGGGACCTCATGTAAAGAAAGTTTTCTAGAATCAAGGAAAGACTAATGTCTTTATCAAATTTCCATAGGCAAGAGTCAAGGATTGAAAATTAGTGTGTCAAGGAATTCATGAAAGCTTAAGTGAGTGGTTCTTGGGAATTTTTCCAACACACAAAGTATTCTACCCTGGAGAATATATTTACTTCTAAATATCTTCACAAGTACCCTTTGAAGCAGATAGTAGGTTTTAATGGACACACTTACTTAGATTAATTAATTACTGCTGAGTCTCAGTGGTCTGCAATCAGCTATTACCCATATGGGATGAGATAAGTCTAAGCTTCCAGCGTGCTGGTGATTTCAGGAATGGCCATGTATTTGCCTAGTTTCCCCTTCCCTGTGCTCTTGTGTGGTTCTATCTGAATTCCAATACTTGATACATCTCTGAGGCAACTTGTGCAAAAGTGATTGTCTCCAAGAAGGGCTCAGCAGCTCCCAATAGCTCTGGATATTGACTCTGTCACCAGATTCTGACCTTTTAAAAAGTATTGGCTGGCAATAAATCTCACAGGGTATGCCTACGTAAAGTGCATATAAATATGTTGGTCAGTGGAACAGAATGCTGCAATGAAAGGTGATCTCCCTCAGCAAGTGAATGAGTAAACCTCTCAATCTTGCCACTAGTCTTGGCACAAGCAGGAGACACAAGCATCAGGAAAGAATGAGAGTGTGACAATATTGCAGAGCCATCTTTCTCATGTTGCTTAACTCTATGCCCTCATCGGAAATTTCTCTTCATCAGAGGTCTCACCAACAACATTGTCTTCTTAGTCATTGGGGGACAATATTCACGGGATCTGGGTTTGGGCAGCTTAAGAAAAAAACCATACATCATCCTACATATTCAAATCCCAAAATGGTGCTATGGAGTTGGTAGGACTCCTAAGAAGGTGAAATAGAGAGTTTGGAAACCTTATCTCATTATTTGAGTGGTAACAGGCACCCTGAATCCATGGTTCAAATCGCAGAGCCTGATCTTTCTCATCACAATTTGGACATCACCAAGTAGACATGTACACTGTGTTTCTCAGGTGCGAATGAGCTCATGCTGGCACACACCCTTCCTCTTGCTCACCTTTATCAGAAAAGTCACCCACATCTGCACGTGAGACATGACTGAGGAAGAAATAAACCTGCAGCTTGGGATCAGGGTGGGGTCTACCAGGAGTGCAGAACCCAAAACCTCAGTGAGCACCAAGTAATGGGACCCTCTTGGTCATGAGCCTCAGGTTTTCCGCTTCTAAACCAATTCCTGGAATCATATCTCTGTAGGGTAGCTACTCCAGAAAGGGTTTCCCCAGACCCGGGTTTTATAGATTAGACTATTCTTGGATTTGAAACACTGATGTCCAAAAGGTGAAGTGGGATGAGGTTTGAGGAAAATATCTCTTGATACTATTAGATGGCCCTTCTAACAACCTTCCATAAAAGAGACTCTGAAACATATGATAATTCAGAGATGGAAGTCAGTAATACCAGGCCTTTTTATCTTTCTCTTCACCTTTATTCCTTATCAAGAAGAATGCAAAATAAACTGGTTGGTTTAAGGTAATAAGGTTTGCCCTTACAGTTCATTGTTTCATTCCATTAGCTTTTTTTTCTCTTTCATCTGTTTAATTGGACATTAAAAAAATCTTTTTTAAATGGTAACAAATATTCTGAGAGTATGTTTTAGCAGGGAATACATAAGCAATTTATTGGTAGTTCAAAATTAGGTTACACAATGAGGACTCAATAAATGTTGATGACTTAATTGCTTGCTTAATTAAGCTCAAAGTTCTTATAGTGACACCCAAGGCTCATATGACTTGCATTCACCCCATCTTTCCGACCTCATCTCTTGCCACTCTCCCCATTGCTGACTTTAGGGTGTTTCATAAATACACCAAGTGTACTTCTACTTCAGAGCCTTTGAAATTGTTTCCTTGACCTAGAATACCCTTCTTGGATATTTACATGTCCACTAGCTCACTGACTCAAATCTCTGCTCCAAAATCTGTGATCAATGAGCCTTGCCCTGACTGTGACTATAAAATCACAAGTCTCCTCTTCTTCCAGACTCCCACCACCTTGTTTTTTTCCGTAGTACTTTTCATCATCTGATATACTACATATTTACCTGTTTCTTTCTTTGTTTATAGTCTTACCTTACTAGTTCTGGGGGGCTGGAAGAGAAATCTTTCTCTTTATTTGCTACTTTGTCCCCAGAGCCTAGAATTATGTCTGCACATAGTAGACACTCAAATATTTGTTAAAAGAAGTAAACATATATGGTACTTCCTGGCATTATTGTGTCAAGATACCACCATTATATGTTATGACAACAAAGAAGCACATTTCTCACAGAGTTCGGCATGCTCTAACCATTATCTCCTTGTAAGACACATAGTTTTGCTTTTCTAGTTTTCTCTCTTATAAATAACGCTGAAATGGATCTTTCTTTGACCATCAACTTTTATCTCTATTTTTCCTTAGAATAAATTCTTAGTAGTGAAGTTACCAAGTTAGAAATTAATGGACATTTTTGTGACTCTTTATTATCAAATTGTTTTCCAGGAATGTTGCACCAGTCTACACTCCTAGCAGAAGTAAATGTCAGAAAATTCGTATTTACCTTCTTTTCTTTCTTAATCAGTGTTATGCCATTTTGCACAAAGTTAACCAGATTCCCTTGCTGTCTCCATTCCTTTTTTTTGTTCCCTCTGGGAGTGTCTGTCAAAATACGCTATTTCTATTTACTTTTCAACTTCGATCTTAAATTTCTAGAATGAAAGCAATCATTTTAGAAATGGAAAGAAACCATAAATTATATATTTCAATCCCCCATTCTACGTATGAGGAAATGGAGTTCATAGATCACACTGCTGACTACTAACAAGGCCAGGAGTGAGAGACACAGGACTTTGGTGACTCACGTCAGCACCTGAAAATATTTGAAAACCATGAATCACCAAATAGGAATCAAAGTACAGCATGCTAACTTTTAAACACCAGTGTCTACCTGTTCCTTGTTAAAATTAAGGTCAAAATGTCCACAAGAGTATCTCTTGATGTTGAGAGATTAGCTCTGTTTGTGATGTGTATGATATAACTTTGAAGTTGCACTACCTGTTCTACTTACTGTGTTAGCTTGTTCCGGAATCTTTTTTTTATCTAAGACTCTTGCACAATCTGGCTCCTTCACATTTGTCTGTTTTTTTGTGAATTTCATAAAATTGTAAGGCAACCAAGAAATGAGCAGCATTTGTTAAATTTCTTTGAATAAAAGTAAAACAATTAGATAGTTGGTATTCCTACTAAAGAGAAAGCTCTTGGGCTTTTCCAAAGCTATCACCAAATTGTCATTTGGAGACTTCGTGGGAATGGCGACTCACACCAGCATGTACATTTATATAAGCCTTTGGAGACATCCACATCTATCTTCACAGATAAACACATATAGTCTCTCATTTCTCTGTAGAGAAATACACATTAATGAAAAACTTAAAATTATATGTTGCCTTTCCTTTGAAATCTTCAAGACTAGTCCTATGGTTTTCTTCCACATTAAAAAAGTCTTAATAACACTTTTTTCAGCTATGATGTTCTTACATTACTCATGAATTTAATTGTTAGAGGAATGCCATAGATCAAATGGTAGTTAATATCCATATTAACTACTGTTAATAATAAACAAGAACTGTTTATTCCCAGATTTTGAAGGGTGAATCAGTTGAGAATTTAAATAGGATACTGTGTTCTGATAAAAATTAGTAGTATATGAAGATATATCTTAACTGGCAACTACTCTAAATGCAGGATGTCCGTAATTTCTATTTATGAAGAATACACTGTTATTTACAAATGGGCATTAATGTCTCTAAAGAAAATGTAATAGCCTAGGTAAAATAAACAGATGACTTAAGTTGACAGGAGAAATCCAAAAGGAATGATAATGAATAAATTGAATAGATGCTCACTATGGTTGTATGTGTAGATGTGTACATGTGGGTATACCCATTTGTTTCAGGGCCACAAATTTCTATTAAATTCAAGGACCAAAAGGCATGAGGCTCGAAAGAAAACCAGGCTTTAAGCAAGTGCTGCACATGCTTTTGCAAATATTATTTTCATCTAAAATATCTATCTCTTGGTTATGACCCCGTCTTATCCAGATTATAGAAACTAATTTCAGTATTTTTCTCAGTTTCATCAAATTCAAATTTTTAAAGC